CTCCGAGTCTTTGTAGGCTTCATACAGTGCTTTATTACACAATGCAGATTAGAGATTCAATTTGTATAGTTGTGTAAAGGTTACAGAGGCATACACATGCTCTAAATAACTTTGTTGTATTGAGACTTGAGAGCGGGAAGTTTGCATGATTCATATATAATATGATACTGATGTTGAAATGAGAATATGAAATTCCTGAAATTCATTTTATATTAATGTTAATTAATATGCGCATTTTATTTAAACGTTATTATAAATTCGACATTGTAATGTCACACGTTCAAGTTATTTAATTACATTTGGGACAGAACTAATCTTAATACTGTTCAGCTAGAATTAATTTCAAAGTAAAATTTGAAGACCTGGTCATCAACTCGGATCAAAATGTTAGTGTGTTCAATAAAAAAAATTAAGACAAATTGAACTACCACCACACGAACTACCGAAAACGTATTAATATTTTCAACAATTATTATTTTACTGTGAACATTTTTAGTAATCAATATTAATTTAAATTTTATTAGTTCTAATATTATTTTAATTTTAAAAATAATATTAGAACTAACTAATAATAGTATTAGAACTAACTAACTAATAATATTAGAACTTGGAAAGAAGCTTTTCATGTAGTTTATGTAACCGACTCTGTCACTTTGTGTACTCATAATACGAGGTTAATTGTAAAAATAATAGCAATCTATTTTTTTAATCTGTGATGAATTATAGACACTTATATACACATAAAACGCACATTTAATATTCTCATCCTGCACGTGATATACCGTTGCTCCAAAGATCTAATTCCTTCCAGAAATATATTTTGGTTTCAAATTGAACGACGATCCACCGATACTCTAATATTGTCATAGCTTCCAAATCATCGCATTCTCAAAAGGTCCAAGCATAAGATCACCACCATGATCACAATTTGTGGCACTTGGAACCTTTCATAACAATGGAAACTAGTGGTGCTGAAAAAGCACGTAATTTCTCATCCAATGTAAAATTACGCGAAAAGTGTTTCTGCTGAAGTTTAACCCAGCGATGTTTGTAGCACCTCAGATCGAGGGAAACATAAATGTCCAACTTAGGAATACAAATATTGTCTTGTTCTACGAAGTAATTAGTCGAGTACGCTGCTTCTAATATCAGATAATCGTTAGCAATAAGAAGCACTGAAACATATTGGGATTATCCTATAACAGAATTATATTATCTTAAGATGAGTTCTCTACGAAAGATGATGGTAAATAACCAATTTCGTTTTTCCAACACGGAAGTAACGAGGCATGATAAAAAATACATTTGTAGGTACCAGCACTGAAATAGGCATTTTATGCACTTTAAATGTGGTTCATATAATGTCGTAAAGTCATGTGTATAGATTTAATTTAGAGTATCTACATTAAAAGATCAAAACAGGTAATTGACTAAAAATCCGATGTAGAATCAATCGATGGTATTATGATACAGCAAAGCAAACTTTTCACGAATCATCTATACCGTTTGTAGCAAACGCATGAAAGAAATGAATATGTGTCTTTTGGTGCTGAAGGCGTATATGACGTAAAAGCTAACTGAAGACCTACCACAACTCTTTTAAAAATCAAAAGTGTGTATCAAATTATCCCCACCAGATGGGTTAATTCGTATGATACATTGATCGGGCTAAAGTGATACCACTTGATACCTCTGAATTTTGATTGGGAGCTATAGAGAAACACCATAGTGTCTAGTGTGTCAAGTAATAATTCAAGTGTTTCACATTGGTCTTTTTCTGCTGTATCATATTAACCCCGTGTGACCCTATAGAAATGGGAGCGGATTTTAATGAAGGGTCATCTTTTTTCCTTTTCACTTCAGAACAATGCCGTTTAGTATAGAAATTCCTCATGTCAGAACGAAGTGACCCATTTTAATGTAATTTTTTGCATTTTTCGTCAGTGTTTTACTTATAAGTCATTTTTTACCTTCTTATGTCACTTTTAATGCATTTTCCGGTTATTTAATCGATTTTAATATAATTTTAATGGTACTTACTTCAAACAATATTTACGAATTACAACAAAGGTTCACACAGAATTTCTGAGTAGCCTATTTGATTTCTTCTCTCATATATTGTAATGTCAGCCCTAGTGAGTCCTACGAAATCGAAGGTTTCTGTGACGCCGGCTGACACCATTGTCAATTCCGCCAATTTTGCGATAAATGAAGGAAGACCTTTTGTTTTAAAGAACAGTCCAAAACTTTTGCGAGGTGAGGTGAGAAGAACAAAAGGAAGCAGCGTCGATTACATCAGTAACATACCCAACTGCTTGAATTGTTCATCTGAAAAACTTTTGATAAATTATTTACCTCATTTTTCTTTGTTTCTAAGACATTTTTAAAGCATTTTATTGATTATTTTTGGCAATGTTTTTGGTTGTCAAAATCCGCCCCCCTAGTAACAGAACATCTAGAAAAAGCCGAAGTGAAAGCAACAGACGTTAGAGCCAACGGCGCGTGTGGAGAGGAAGGCGACGTGCAGTCGGGGCCGAAGCCTCGAAGGGCTCTCCGTGCTCAAAGACCGGAGTCGGCCTCTGAGAGCGCGTGGGATCAGCTAGGGGCTCAGGGCGGGCAGCGCGCGTCTACTGCGACCGTGCGACAAGCAGCCACGATGCGACGAAACGCGACGTGACGGAAACTGCGCGGCGCGGCGCGGCACGGCACGGCACGGTACGGCACGGCTCGGCACGGAACGGAACGGTACGGCGCGGCGCGGCGCGGCGCGGCACGGCACGACGGAAACGGCGCGGCGCGTCTCGGCACGGCACGGCGCGGCGCGGCACGGAACGGAACGGAATGGAATGGCACGGCGCGGCACGGCGCGGCAAGGAACAGAACGGCACGGCGCGGCGCAGCACGGCGCGGCACGGAATGGAACAGAACGGCACGGCACGGCGCGGCACGGCGCGGCACGGCGCGGCACGACGCTATAAAACACCGCCCAAAGCCCCGGGCCGCGCTTCGGCATACGGAATCGGACGGCCGCAAAACGACGAAAGCGATTATCCGCAGGCCGCACTTTATCATCGCGCTCAGCCAGCTACCCACCCACCGCGCCGCCGCCACCGTACAACTCCGTTGCCGTTGCGCTCCTTTTCTACGCCGCGGCGGCCTCATCAAATTGAGCCGTACTTTTTTTTCTGCGTCTTACTCTCCGTTATCGTTTTATTCTATCACCTTCTGCCAGACACCGCGGATACGACCATAACCCAGAGGATCTTCTAATATTACAGCGTCCTCTACCACCACCCGTACTACAATTCTAGCGTTCCCGCTCCGATTATCACCACCATTATTATCACCATGACCATCACCATCAGCACACACAACACCACCACACAAGTCTCGGTCGTAATTACTACTCAAACCCCTTTCTCCCTACAGCCTTCATCAACAACTCCACTTCCATCAACTCGAAAATCATCGCTATACTCCGACGACACCCGTCGCGTCCCGTCATCACAACAGCATCTTCGCCGTTGCCACTGCTGCCGCAACGTCTAACATCACCTCAACTATTACGTCTCATCAATATCACTGTCATTCTCGATATCCCCACTATTCATCAGTATGGCCGACAGGGTAAACTGAAAATTATGAGAGTTGCTAAGAAGTGCTGATGGGATGAAAGTAGAAAAATATTGCAAAAAGACTATACAGAGACAACATAGAAAATGCAGACACAGACAAACACAAACTAACAGGAAGAAACGAATGTTAAATGAAAGTGAACTAAAAACGTAGTGGATAGTCTAACTATACTTGGGAAGAAAATATAGTAGTAAGATAGAAAACATGGAGAATACATGGAAAAACCAAATAGGACAGACATGCCGAATAAAAATGAAAACAAAGAGCCAAGGGAGGAGAGATAGTCAAAGAGAATGTAGAATAACGCCGGCAGTCATATAATGCGTGATAAAGACACAAAACACGGAGAAGACTTGGGAAAACCAAAGAGGACAGACATGCCGAATAAAAATAAAAGCGGAGGGCCAAAGTGAGAAGAGAGGGTCAAAGAGAAGATAGGGTAACGCCGGCAATCGTATAATGCGAGACCAAGACACAAAGCACGAAGAAGACTTGGGAAAACCAAATAGGGCAGACGTGCTGAATAAAAATAAAAACAGAGCCAAAGGGAGGGGAAGGTAGGATAACGCCGGCAGCCGTATAATGCGTGACAAAAGGCACAAAAACGGCCAAGCGGATGATTTATCGCCAGCGTTTCCTCGCAGCTTAGCCAGGTATAAAAGCGGCAGCAGGGGAAAAGGATGCCCGTAAGGAATACAGCGGAAGCACAAAAAGATATATCACGAACCCGCGCCCCGACAAGGCCGCTCAGGGAACAAGAGAGAGGTAACGCGTACGAATTCGCAGAATGTACTTACGTGAAGTGCTGCGGGCAGTGGTGTGAAAATCTGCCGACGGAGCAAACTCTAGCCGCGTGATTCACACGCGGTGATAAAATTACCGGGGCGTGCAATAAATGTAAGATATTTGCAGAAGCACAATGCAAACTCGCAAGACAAATATGTACACGGCACGTATTGTACGTGTGACGGTATGTTAAATGCGGTTGTTGCAATGAGTGAAACACGATTCTGCACAACGGCCATGAAAGAACATCGAAAAAAACTGGCGAGCGCGTGTTGTAGCTATATAAGCGAACAATGGACAGACCCGAGAGGGTCGACCTCGACGGGAGTGTATAGTTGATTCTGAAAAATATGGGGGCGTGATATCTGAGAGGAAAAACGAGTCTACATCTGTGGCTCGTTAGAAACGGCACTACACTAGTAATGAAGAAGTGAGGTATTAGCAAGGAAAGGAAATTGTGGCAGAAAAACAAATGGCCATATGAAATATTTAAATTATAGAAGCCTTAACAATTCGGATATAAAATATTGAAATCTTTTATTATTTCTAACTCTTTTCTCAGTAATAAAATTATTACTCTTAGCTTATTTATTTCATATTAATAAGAATACTATCGTAAATACAATCATAAAACACAAATATCTCAGTGCTTTATATTTAATAGCATTAAAAGAGTGGGCCAGAAAATCCACTGCTCATTACGAGGCCTCACCTGATGGAAAATTGAGATCGATAGAAAAAAACTCTAAAATACTACTAAAAATATTAACAATTCATAACAATTTCTAAAGCGCAACATTGCGTCAAGCCATTTATTTTCTTAACAAAAATAACTTCCTCTTCGCGCATCAAATTCAGTCTGTATTTCATGTTAAATGTAATCGCTCTCCCAACTACCAAGAATAATAGCAACAATAACAATAATAATGATTATTTTGTATAATAATGATAATAATAATAATAATAATAATAATAATAATAATCACATGCACCCAATTACATTCAACAACATTCATATCTTTTGTGCGCAGATCTGTGCAATCCCTTTAGATTCAAATTTCTAATTTAAAATTCCTAAATTACCATTTAATAAAAATTATTCCATTTTAATTCTAGTTTTCAATATTGAGGGGCTGTCCATAAATTACATAACGCAAATTGGGAGTCTTTTCAATACCCTCTCTCCTCCTCTTAACGTACCCGTGCGCGTGCTTGAATCACCAAAATAATAACGTAACGCTGGTGACAACACATCTCTTATAATCACAATAATGAAAATAAATTATAGCACAATATAAACAATTTGTATCTCTTTTACTAATGTTGGACATTAAAATTACTGATAATGAGTAGAAATTGGTTGGCGATGCTGACTGCACCTTTCAATAAATTTGGGACAAGCTTTGAGTGAAGGAAGAACGCATGGGCGAGAAAATGTTTGTTCACAAGCTGTGCACACGCCGTCGTAGATGTTGCATGAGCGGAAGCCTACTGCGCTATTTAAATGGATCCTAGAATATACTAGCACTACACAAGTTTTTTCTACATACATATTTTCTTCGTAATCTTGCAGATTCAATAAAAATTTGTAGAAAAAATATTTCCATTTATTGTAACAATTTACGTCTAATAACTTTAGTTAATTTATGTTTTTAAAACAAGTTAATTAGTTAATATTTCAAAAAGTAATTATTTGAGCATACGTTTAAAAATGTAAAAAAATTAATGCCAATGTTTCGTAACATTACTTAACGTTACTGTTTCGTAACATTACGTTTCGTAATCCCTATGTAACGCTTCGTAACGCTCCCTCAGACCCCGTCCGTCCCTCTTTAGCGTTACGTAATTTATTGACGCCCCCATTAATCCAATATTCGGCCTTTTATAAATTTATAATGTGTCTTTACGGTAGTGTTTCCTCTTGCACTTCCAATACACAGAACTCTTGTACGTCGAATTTGTCCCTTTCTTCAACAGGATCACTTCTTCCCTCCGCTATGGTACTAACAAGCATGCTCCATCCATTTTGCCATAGGTAGGTCGAAACTTCTCGAATTTCCTCAAATCGAATTTCTAGTTTAAAATTTCTTATTTGTTACCATTATTCCTAATATATCATTTACATTGACAAATAACATCAGTTATCAAATATAACTTTTAAAACAAAACTTTGGTGATCTCATTACGTGAGACCGTTTCACATGGCGACTTCCTTCAATTTTCTCCTATCTTACCGCTTGGAATAATGATATCCATCCAATGGTCTACTGTTCGTCTTTTCGGCGCAGTTCGAGATCTAAATCGTTTCTCTTTACTAACTTTTACCCATCTCGTTCTTTTGTCTATCACGCTTTCCCATTCGTTACAGCCCTTATTCTTCTTCTCTTGCATTACAAGATGTATCCGGATAGTAATACAATTTTTTAAACAAATATATTAATGAAATATACTGTTATAAATGATTAACACTCTTCAAAGTAGTTCCAATGAGCATCCATACTCACACACTTTTTCCAGCGACTCTACTACGAACTGTACGCATCTTAGGATTATATTGCAGACAAATGTGAGAGTTGTGATGAAGTTTTTGTGAGCACTACTGCATATAGAAGAAGGTTTCACATTATTCTAAAATCTTCTGCTATCACATTTTTTGTTATTTAAGGTCGCATCAACATGTAGGTCATTAGCAACCATTATTGCATTTAACGGTATGGTAACTATGAAGATATGACATGATATGGTGATGATGGGGGTGAAAGGACGAAAAAAAATTATATCTGGACATCATCTCACCCAAAATTATTCAATTATCATTATCATTCACCCTTCCTATTCAGCCGACCATACAGTGTAAGGCAATGACAAACCCTCACTGTAATCACCTGGCCAAGAAGGCGTAAGCTTCCGCATTTGCCTTCTTTAAGAATTGAGTGTTGCATACATTGTCGTGCAATAAATAAATGAGTGAATGAATTAGTGACAGTGATTAATTGAGTGGGTGAATTAATGAGTGCGTGAAAGAGTGATCAATTGAGTGACTGAGTGATCAATTGAGTGACTGAGTGATCAATTGAGTGACTGAGTGATCAATTGAGTAACTGAGTGATCAATTGAGTGACTGAGTGATGAGTGAGTGAAAGAGTGATCAATTGAGTGAGTGAATGAATGAGTGTGAGTGAAAGAGTGATCAATTGAGTGAATGACAGAGTGGGTAATTAAGTGAGTGAATGAGTGTGTGAGTGAGTGACAAAGTGAGTAATTAGGTGAGTGAATGTCAGAGTGAGTGAGTGAGTGAAAGAGAGAGCAACTGAGAGAGAATGAAAGAGTAAATAAATTATACTCACGGCAGCCCAACCGCTGGAGGTGGGATGGTCGGCTGCCCAATTAGCGGGGTCGGCTTGCGCAGCGCCGAGCGACACAAAGAACACCAGGGCCGACCCCACGCCCAAGTTCAGCAACAGTCGCAGTCCCCAGGAGCGCTGCAACACAAGAGCACAGAACGCATAGTCATAAATCTTCACCACACTTATATAGAATTAACATTTTGCAGTATTAAATACAATTAGCGAAAGATATAATCAGGAAAAAGTAATAACAGTTTAACCTGCAGATACACGTCAGACTATTGCGAATGACTGAAAGGTTTTCAAGCAAACAATGAGCACACATAACTGAATAATGCTTGAGAACTGACAGAAATTCTAATTTGTAATGTTGCGAAAGAAGTACAATCCCATGTCTTAAAATAACTTATAACATCTCAGCTTAACGTTGTTGGTTAGTTTCTAGTATTCTCAAAATTATTCACATTAGAAAATAAAATATAAGTACTGCAAATGGATTCGTAATTGACGTCATTTGACCTTCGCACACAAAATAATTTGAATACAAAAGAATACTTGCAGTAAGTAAAAAATCATGTGAATTGAAAAAAGATGGTATCAACAAGAGTTTATTATATTCTGATACAACATTTCATCGTATATCTTAAGAAACTTTGGGTGAAGTAGTTGTTTAGAACGTTATTAAATTAGTGCATCGACAATTAGTGCAAGTCGAACATGAAGAGAAGTAAAGATCAAAGCTTCGAAAGTCTACGTACATTTATACACATATTTAATTTAATTCATATTGAGATGTCAAAAATATTTTTTAACGGTACGTTAAGGTAAGTTTTCAGTAAGCACTAGTTTAGGCCAAACGAAACGAAGTTTTAGCTTTAAAAGAAATAGTTTTCACATCTTGTGTACAACGAGTTATAATGAGTTTTACAAGTTATGACCGAGATGTGTCAATATGGATAGAAAATGCGTCGAAAAAATACGCGAAATTGTGAAGCAAGTAGCTGTCAGTAAGACAGTGCTTTTAACATTTTGGCATGGAATTTTCTGTATATCTGATTATATGTTTAAAATCTGACAAGTTTATTTTACTCTATATTTTGTCGAGTAAGGCGTGTGTATTGTAACCTTTCTCACGTGTCTCTTTGTTTTTACACATTGAGGGTCTATAACTTCTGTACCACTTAGCACCGTTTTGAAATGTAGCTTGTCAGAAAGCCCAACTGTTCTCTATCAGTATGCCAAATTGTAGCTGCACATATTTGCTCCTTTATGCGTTATTTCATCGGCAATTCGACGTTTAAAGATTTTAAAAACATGAGGGAAAGGTTATAAAGAAATAAATGACAATTACATTTCATTATGAATAATCACTATTGACGGTAAGTTATAACGTACTCATGTAATTTTAAAACACAAGCGCAAAGACTTATTTTTGACACACATTTTTTCGTTCCCCATTCTTCCAAGTATACGCCGATTAAAAAATATAATTAGTATGTATGAAATTATATCAGATTAATGAGTTTCCAAAGTTTGTATCTTTTCTCCCATACGGTTTAAAACCATACACTTTTTTGTACAAAATTAATTAATTTAGTAAATAAGTACTTGCAATTACACGCATAAAACTTTTTCATCGAAATGTTTCAATATGTGTAAATATATATGCTCTATAAATCAACTTTAGTAACCATTATTATTTTAATACCTGCTAAAAAGATTTTCTTGTTATTCTGTGACGTTTTTACGGCGGGTTCTAAAATGCAAGTAATAGTTGCAATGTTATATAACATAGGCAAATGTCCATAGAGGAGTAATTCTCCAGAAAATATATCTACCTCTTCGGATAAACACACGAGCCAAGTAATCTAAGTACATCTCGCATCAGTAACACTCAAAATGGCCCAGCGTCCCTATTCGTTCCTTCAATGCAACTACGATGTTCCCAGCAGATCTTAGGATCGAGTCCCGCTTGCTCTGTTTGACACAGTTTCCAACTTGTTTCGCTTGCTAGTGGCTACACAGACGTACTGCGCTTCGGCCCGGCCCGTGGCTTGCTGCCAGGGATTCACTCTCCGTGTCCCCAATCTCTCAGCGCAACGGATTCCCTTCATACTTAACCCCGACGCCGGCAAACGTTTTTTTCCATTGGGAACTCGGCGCGCGCTGGGAGAGTAACGACCTCCTGTTTCAGCAAGCGCACTCCATTTTACTAATAGGAGTACGTCCATCGCTTGCCACGTCGAAGTCCCTTCGCATCGGTCTCGAATAAAATGGACCCTTCCGGCCTTTCACCTCTTCTCTCTCTCTGGTTCAGCTTGTCGAAGCGCGGTACGAGGACCGCCCCCACCTACTTCGCCATTTCGCGGGAATTTATATCTGCAGGCGCCCCGCGGGGAGAGGTGGGCTCAGCTTCGATCCCAGATAAAGAAACAGTTCCTCGTGGCGGGGGTGGGACGCGGAGGGCAGCGGGAGGGGGCGGGGAGGGGGAGGGGGAGGGTGGAAGCTCCTCGAATATGAGAAGCGAAGCCCCAGAAAACGAGACGGTGCGGCGCTCAGATGGAGCTACGGGCCAGCCAAATACCTTACCTTGCACTTCCTCTCTCTCTCGTTTTTCACCTTTGGCTTCTCTCTCCTGTGCTTTGCCCACCTCCTTCACCTGAACTGTACCTCTCTTCTTCTAGTATTTGGTCACATTTTCTTCTACTTCACCGGAAGAGGGAAGAAGTATCTCAGGGTACCCACTGATGTCACTGCAGTGCCTATCACCGGGAGGTCCTACGTTCGAGACCGGACGGTGGCAGACCTTTGGACCCTAACTAGATAGCTAGGTCGGATTCAGATGCTGTATGGAGGAGAATTCTAGCGGCCGGCTGCTCTGACCGGTACATTTCCGTGATTTCTCCGATCAATATCCGGGGAATGTCGGAGCAGCACCTTAACAAACGGGGCACGGAGCGCGAGCGATCTTTCCTGCCTCTCCCTCGTTCTTTTTCTTCACACCTTCTTTACACACACACACACACACACACACACACACACACACATACACACACACACTCACATGCACTATTTTATCACACTTTCCGGGATCACCACTCCAAAGACTAGACCTGAACCTGGCTGGGGCGTTGCCCCGCTTGTAGGAGATACCTGGTTAGGAAAACCCAACTATCCGACCGTTATCTCACCATAAAGCTGGGGAAGATAATCGACATCTCCTGGGGGGAAAATATACTGTACTCAAGGGACTAATGATCTTACCAGTTAACGCGCCCGGACCCTCCTTCCTCCTTTAGTTATCTCTTATTCTTTTTCTACTCTTCGTTCACTGATTTATTGCTTTTCTTCAAAGCTTAGTTACATTTTTCTTCTTAGTCAAAACGTTCCATCATCTTAATGGACTCCATTTAGATCTTTAAGCCCAATATATGTATTTAGACTTCATATTTTACTTTTCTATTTTTAGTAGCAGCTGTGTGTTTACTATTTCATTAGTTTCTACGCATAATTATGTTTAAAAGGTAAATTATTAGTCTTCTATAATTAAAAAAATTGCAGAAACTTTTTAATCGTACATTACTACCTCCACAGCTGACAAATTGTTTCCAATAGGCTTAATTTTTTATTCCATATATTTTTCACGTAAGAAATGATTTCTGTAGTAGAACGACCAGATTCTAAAACACCCCGAGTCTAATTGTGTTCAGTCACCCTTCTCCTATCTCGCTACGCCATGTGCTGGGTCTGGACGGGAATTAATTCGAACACGCTGTCCCACATCCCTCGATAGGGCCACGCGCACCGCTTCATCCCGTGTGCGCTGCCTCTGCTCCGAAGTCAAAGGCCAAAGCCCAAAGTCAAACCTCTAACCTAAGTTTTGCATCCGCCAACCAGCGTCCGACGGCAGGATCCAAGCCGTACATCAACAGTCGCCAACCAGGAAGGCTAGTCCCCTGGTGTTATGCGCTCTCATGCACTAATTTACTCAGTGTTAGACAAAGCTTCCACGAGAATATCTCGTTAAAGAACGATGTTGTAAAAAACGAAGACCCATAAATGCTTTATCTCTCGTTAAAACGAAGTAACACGCTCCGCCGACACGCTCCACCAACATATTTTACTAATACGTTTAACTTGAAACTATGTTTATCCTAGTGATACCTAGTAAATCTTTATTATTATTACGTCTGTTATGTTTATTTTATTGTAATTTTTTGTTTCTGGCCAAATAAAATGTCTGCCATTTTTATAACAATTTATTTATTGGGATACAATTGATGTTTTGACCCAATTTGGGGTCTTTTTCAAAAAAATCAGTGTCCAGATTTGCTGACATTATATCATAAATAAACATTTTCTGCTTACTGTTTACCACTTAGCCAGTTTTTCGCTATCAACAAAAGTTTTTCTATCGAAAAATCGCTGTTTGTGCTGCGGTATTACAATAATTTCTCTATATTACGGAAGTGGTATGCGATAATGTAATAATTTCAATTATTTTTTAAAAGAGCAATACAGGGAAATTCATTGGTCGTTCATATGAATTTAATGAAGGATAACTATATTCCTCGTGATTATTAGAAATATGGTTAAAATTAATGAACTCGTGTACAATATGGTAGAAGTTGGAATGGTACGATAGAAGATAAATTGTCAAAAATGTCAAATGGGCAAATCTAAGCTATCACAACACTGTGTTACTGAACGCACTCAGTATTTGATATGTAACCTAGTCGCCTTGTCTTCTCATTCATCAAAGATGATTGACTTTCAGTGCACTACATTGCATTAATTAATTTAGAGTATCCGGAGCAAACAAGACACACTGATCCAATCATTGTCAATCCGCAAATGAAAATTTTGGCACAACAGAATTAACAAGTCAATTTATTTGACTACTCTTGTTTAAATATTCTGACTGACTAAATGATATTTTAGTAACAGTTCAAGTTCTGTTCAATTACTACTCGGCATTTTCTACGGTCTCATTTAGTTCGTTCATCATTTTCAACTCGTGTAGGCGTTTGAAAATCTGACCACATCCCGCGTATACGTAACAGTGCGTGGTGAGAACGTAGATAGACACAGCTTTACCCTAACAAGATAAACTCATCACGACTGAAGCGAAAGAAGCAAAGCATGTGTGGAATGCAAATCTGGTACGACAACGCGAATTTCCAAGTAGTCGCACAGAGAGCTCCCATGACAGTACCTGCCCAATCGCGCCATCGTCACGCTACCAACCAGGGCCTTCCAACTCGCATACAACGTGGTGGAAACCATTACTGTGGCACGTTCTACTGTAGCACCTTCTTACTGGAACTAAAATACGAACTGCTGGCAACTATACTTCAAACGTGGTCGGCGGCTGCGAGGGTACCCGAGACACAAGCAGACGCGTACTGTTACAAATGATAGGGTTGATGTTAACTATTTCTTCAGAGGTTTCTTATATGTATATATTATGAATAATTAAACATTTAGAAGACACTTTTCGTATTTCTCACAATTTAGCCAATTTGTATGCGTGAAAGTTGGTGACCCTAACGTGCGACACTAGCGCCACCTATCGTAGCACCCTCCAGCTTTGCCGCCCGTTTTGATGGAGAGGTGGAACTGACTAAATGTGAGTTCTGTTACAGTTCACGTTCTATTCAATAACTGCTTCCAACACACTATTCGTCCAGCACTTTGCGTTGGTTACCGCATTTCGCGTCGCGTCGCGTCGCGTCGCGTCGCGTCGCGTCGCGTCGCGTCGCGTCGCGTCGCGTCGCGTCGCGTCGCGTCGCGTCGCGTCGCGTCGCGTCGCGTCGCGTGGCGTTGCGTTGCGTTGCGTTGCGTTGCGTTGCGTTGCGTTGCGTTGCGTTGCGTTGCGTTGCGTTGCGTTGCGTTGCGTTGCGTTGCGTTGCGTTGCGTTGGGTCGAAATGAGTCAATGGCAGGTCTGCACAACATGTTGCACTTGCAACTGACCTCGAGGGCTGCTCGAGTGCGAGGTAAGTGCCATTGCGGGCGCAGTGGGTTGGTGGTGATGAGGCTCGTTGCGCGCTGGGAGGGCGATAATGAAACACACGAGTCTCAGCGGTCGCGGGAAAGTTGAATGAAATAGCAGCAAGCGAACGACTATTAGAGATAACTTAATCCTGTCGATTTGTATAAAACAATTTATTTTGTTGAGATTCCAGTACAAATAACATTTCGTCGTGTATATACAAGTAACAAGCAGAATAGAATATATAGGCACAGTTTTTTGGTCACTGTGTCTTTATTGTCTGATTAGCTTTAGTCGTCTATAAAAACTATCTGTGGATTTCTTGGGTTACGCTGCAGCAATTTTATGAACTCTAATCACGTCACATGTGATGCCAATCACTTAACCAAATTAAACTAGGAATTAAAATTCTTACTCTATAAATAGTTCGAATCTGCTAATTACACCCACTACACTATGAACTGCGCTACGGACTATGTACTATGTTCACCGTTTATCGTTACGAATTGTACGTATTTTTATGTATTACATATATACATATATATATATATATATATATATATATATATATATATATACATTAATCACGTATGATCTTGTAAACTGAATATGTTCTCCTGAATAAAAATACACGTGCCGTTACGTGTTAGCTTTCTTTTTTCGTGGTTTCTCCGATCATCACCAGGCGAATGCCGGAGCAGTATACTAACAGCCGTGGACCACGCGTGATCTTTCCCTCCCATTCCTTGTACTTTCTGAGCCTTTAATTGCACGTACGTGCACTACACTACTACACATGCCGGAAGTACGGTCGGGAACTCCGAGCTTGTTCCGATTGGAGCTGTGTCCTGCTTGTGGAAGATCCCTAGTTGGGGAAAATCCCCACAAGCAGACGGTAGATCGACCCCGAATTTCACCATCCAGCGAGGGTGAGGATTGGGCTAAGGATGTCACCTACCGGGGGGGAAACATGCTCTACACTTACGGGACTAATTACCTAGGCATCTGACGCACCCGAAAATCAATCACGTCCCTTTTGCTCTTTTCCTTGCGGACCACTGTAGACCGCCGCCGCTGCCGCACGCTCGCTTCACGTAAGCCAGGCGGGCTGCGCGCACCCAGAGCTCGCGCGGCGCGGCGTGGCGGCCGCTAATTCCCCGCGCGCTCATCGATCCGCTCCGCTCCGCCGTGCGTCCGATCCGCCGCGCTCCCGGCCTCCGCCCGCGTCCCACTCCGGC